TTTCAATTTACTACATTTATCTATTATACTATTTGGCTTTGCTTATTATTTCTTCATGAACTATATCTCATGGGTACTAAAACTAGTGTAGGTGTGCCTTGTGGAAGCATGCATGGTGGTGATAAGTCTATCTCTTAGTTGCTACCATTATTGTCAACTCAATGTTACTGTTACAATTTGTAGGTTCTATTACGATATTCTCTCCCGATTTAAGAAGACCTTTGTCCTGACCATCTGTATAGTAGTCGTAATATACCCAATCCTGTCCTCAACACTAGAACATGGATCCATCATTTCTAACTTGGCTGTAACACGAGCAACACACCCATCATTTCCAGCTTGGCTGCAACACAAGCGGGAACACACCATTTCAATACTTGATAACATCAACTTGTGGTGCCCTTGATATAAAAAAAACTATAGAGGGAGTATTAAAATCAAAATAGAATTTCTAACATAAAACCAATCCCATAAAATGAGCAGAACAAATATATTTAAGCAGTTATTGATCTGCTTCTCCATATATTTTACTAGAATTAGTTACTTTTCACAATTTAACCACATGTGACGAACTGAAGAGAGATGGATTATTAAAAGATAAGAAAATAGAATTGCAGCACGTGTGGTGAGGGGAATGTCACTGTTAAACGAGAATTGCAGAATAACATAATGAAGTATTACACTCTTACCAAAATCTAGAAAAAATTCAAAATCATAGTTAGAAGAGTATAAGACTTTCCGCCATAGAACAACACCCCTCATCGCATTGTCTTTTGTGTTTTAGATGGAATGAAGTGTTGTTCATACTCATTCTTCCACACCTCTTTAAATAAATCAGGCTAAAAATAGTTTGCTAATAAATATCTCCATTTGTTATGTATAGCTTTCATGCCTAATTAACCATAAACTAATGCCAACTTCTCAAATAACTCATACTAGTTATCAAATATTTTCAACCTCTAAACTAATAACTCACACAATCAAAATCAGACATGTCAATTAATGGAAGCACCTTAAACAGCTCTCGTATTCACAAAAACATCCACATAAATTTACATCATACATATGATAAGGGATTTATTCAGCTCAAATCTAGTGCATAGCCTATTTCCAGAAATAGTATTGAGAATGGAATCATTTAAACAAGTAACTCTAACCAAATCAAGTTTCAAAATAGATATGATTCCATGTTTACTTTCCCAAATGCATGCTAACAACAGAGCCATCAATTTTAAATTCAAAGGGTTTGCTTTTGATTATAACCTTAAACTCATGTGAGCCATAGGATTGTAAATATGGAATTGATAATCATCCTGGACATCATCCGCCAGACTTATATGGTTGCCTAGGTTGCTGTTTTTTCCTCCAAGCTTTCCATCTCTGCAGGTATGAGGGATTTCACAGCTGATCCAAAGGCCATGGTCGTTGTTGGTCTCTAGGTGATGAAAAGAGAGTGTCCCTGGTATGTTGTCCAGCAGTTTCCAGCTTCGTATGGTAGGATGTCTGCTCTATTCGATTCTGTGCAGAAATTGCCGCCACGGTAGCTCACCGGAGAAGAGCTATGCACCGCTCTGTACTCCGCGGCCGCAAAATGCAGTGCTCGTTCCCCTAGATATTGGACGAATGATGACCAAATGCGAGGAGGACTGAACTGTTCCATGAATCCACGGAGTGCCCTAGTCGCGGCGCTGAAAACCCCATCACAGATGCTGCTCCAGCAAAATCCCCTTCGAGAGTTGGAACCCTCGCTCTAGAAGCCTTACGACAGGTTGAAAAAATAGTCTAAAATTGAAATAAAAAAAACGTAATTGAAAACCAAAAAGTTAAAAATGTTAAAAGAAGAAATGAGGGGGGCATAAATGATATGAGAAGCACAAAACTAGACCATGCGGGTAATTTCCACAAAAAAAATCAATAAACATTCTTGAAATATTTTTAAAGCAATGCTATCATATTTTACAATACAAATTTAAATAAATTTACGAATTCAAAAATCGTTACTCTCACATATTGTTAAGTTTTAGCATTACGATCCGAATTTCAATGAGAATATAAATTTGGGGGATGTCGTTGGTGATGTGTAACACTTGACATTTAATTTAAACGGATTAATAGTACTACTCATACCAACAGAGGTGCATCTCCTTTTAAGGGAGCTTATCACCGAAGAATTCCAAGTTAAGCGTGCTTGCACGGGAGTAGTTTTGGTGGTGGTTTGTGAGGACAGTACTAGAGGTCTGGAGAGCATGTGGAGTAACTACCTCGGGTCCTGCGAGGTCGGGGTGTTACATGATGTTAATGATTATTTTTGAGAGTATGATTGGTGAGAGAGATTATTAAGAAGGATTATTTGATACAATAATATATATGCCATTAAAATATCTATCTAGATGGTTTTGAGATTATTTATGAAAGTTAGAATTAATACCTTATTATAGTAATAACTTACTTCTCATCACCACTGTAAGTGACTCCACATCAATGGTTGTGAAAAATAATTTTTGATAATTTTATACAAAAATATTTTAGTACAGTACACAAACTATCGACATTTAAGTAAGGCCTTTGCATACCGTTAACTATATGTCTCTGTGCACTAGAGGTCACCAGTTCAAATTTTGAGAGTTGTCACTTGTTAAGATGATAAGTGAATGTTTAATTTGCTCTTTATACACCCTTGTGGTGAGTGAGATCGGACACTTCTAGGCAGGAGCGTATCCAACGTGGGGGCAGGGGGGGCAGCTGCCCGCACTCAACCCCCACCTTACCCCTATATATACATATATATTTGATCTACAATTATATATTTTTTGTGCTAAATATAAAGGTCTTATCAACATAGTATAGTACTTGTGAACAACATGACATTCGGCCCCGTGGTTGATGAACTTTGTTCGTGTTGTAACTCATTTATTACAGGTCAAGGGAACGAATCCCTAATCTACTTTTTGTCCACATTTTTTCATTTTGGCCATTTTGAAGCTTTAGAATGAATTTAAAGTGGTTATTATACATTATTGTTTTAACTTTTTTCTAATTTCTAAGATTTAAGATACTTAGTGGTTATTATACATTATTGTTTTAACTTTTTTCTAATTTGTAAGATTTAAGATACTTTGATGTAGTTACAATTTTAGTTTCACATATACCTTTTAAAATTCAACCATGACATTTTTGCAATTAAGATAAACTATTTTCTACATATACTTATATATCCACAACTTAAGTTAATTCTAAATACATCCCTCCCTTGTATGATTCATTATTTATTAACATAATTTCAAATGAAATAAAAAAAATTGTGACTTGTTTGTTGCAAATAGAGTGAAACAATATAAATAAAAACTTTGTGACTTGTTTGTCAAACAAATATTTTGTTATTTATAGATAATTTTACAATATTTTTTTGAATTGGTTTCACTGTTTGTGACTTTCCGGATAATAAGTTTTTAGTACGAGTTCGCCCCCTCTCACGTAAATTTCTGGATACGCCACTGCTTCTAGGAGTTTAGGACTCTCGTCTTGCGGGGGGAAGACAATGTGCATCGGGCTGCCTTCTTTTAAAAAGTACTCCCTCCATCTCGAAAAGATTTGTCAAATTGACTTTTCTCAATCAATGAAAATCAACTTTGATCGAATATATTTTTTAATACAATATTATTTTGAATGTGAAAGTTTTATCAAAATGTTCCTTATTCAAAATATTTTTCATAAAAAGTATAAAATTATACATTATATATAAATAAAATAATTAAGATCATTGTTCAAAGTTCACCATCATTGACCAAGAAAAGTCAATGTGGCGAACCTTTTCGGGACAGAGGTATTATATAAATATTTTCAAAATTTGAGATGGATGAGGCTTAGTAAACCCATGACTGTAGAGATGATAAATAAAGAGCGTAAGATAATGATTCACATAAGAAGACTTCATTTGGTTGGAGGAGGGACTATATTTGGTTGATGGGAGGAGGGTTTTAATAATGGTGAGTTTTAAACATTAAAGAGGGTGTTAAATTGTTAATTAACTTAATTTGATTTGTAGCGAAGACTGCAGAGTAATAGAAAATTATTTTAAATAATGAGGGTAAAAAGTAAGGGTATTCTAAAATTATTCATAAAAAATAGTAATAAAAAAGTTGCTGAGAGCATTTGAATATAGATCAAACTAGAAAATATTGAAAATACTTACAAACATACTCCGAGTTATTTTTAGCTATTCAGTTTTTCATACATAGTACTAACTCCATCTCCGGCCTAAGGTTTTCATTCAAAAATCATATGGAGTATAAATTTTAGATAATAATTAAATAATGTAATATGAGTATAATTTGAAAAGTAGTTTGAGTGAGTACAATATAATACGTAGTAGTCATTAATGACAATCGTTAAGTTATAAGTTCACTTTTTAATGATATTGGTAATTATTTACTAAAATAGGAATACAAATTTTTAGATGAACGTTGAACAGAGCAAGTGAGAAATTTTACGAGGGGCATACGCATATAGTACCTTCGTCCATTAAAACTTTGTCATGTCGTAAAATTTGAACCATAATTTGTATTACTATAATATTATAAAAATTATAAATTTTATACTTTTATGAAACTAAATTTTATACGTACTGTCATTTTTATTACAAAAAAATTTCAATTGAAAAATAATACGGAGTATCTAATAAAAATATATAATTTGTGAAAATTTCAAACGTGGCTAATTTTAAGTCATGGAGGGAGTCTATAGGAATGAGTGTACGTGGTCACCTTCGATCATACTATCATATGGTAGATTAGATTTCAATATTTTAAATCAACAAATAAATGTCAGTCGTATAAGTCAAGCAAGAAGAAGTAAGTACGAGTAGTATTAAAGTACTACGTAATGATTTAGTTGTTAGTACTACTTTTGTTGAATTGATTCCTTGGACATTCAAGTATAAACATTTTTTCCGTACTCAGGTTCTTTTAAACATTTATTTTATTTATATGTAATATGTGCAGAACACAAAAGGAATAAAAGAAAAAAACAGAGAGAAAGTGGCGTCTGTCGTCGCGCGATGGAAGCACTAAGTTTTCAGTGCGGTGGAACACATCACATCACTGATCTATGTGTGTGTATAAATATGAATATGTTCTCAACTTGTTAAATTATCATCTGAATTCAATTGATCTTGAAGAAAGAAATATAATAATGGGGATGATGAGAAAGCACAGCAGAGCAGTCGGGGCAATGGTGATTATTCAGATAACGTGTACAGGAATGACCCTTTTCTCTAAATCCGCCATTTCCAGAGGCATGAAACCTTCCATTTTTGTTGCTTATCGTCAAGCCTTTGCCACTCTCGCCTTGGCTCCTTTTGCTCTATACATTGACAGGTCCCCTCTCCATCTTTTTTAATGTTTAGTTTATGTTATACTTTTTTTATTATGGAGTACTTTATTTCTTAATTCCTCTTTGATCTTCATTTCAGGAAAAACCAACCTCCCCTGACGTTTAAAATGCTCTGCAAGATTTGTGTTGTATCCTTGTGTGGGTATGTCAATCTAGATCCCTGTTTTCAGCTAGTTCTCTAATGAAAAATCACTATATGCCGTTTAATGATGTTTTCTTTTGGACTGAAATTTGCTGGTCTGGTCTGGTCCGGTAAACATCAGGTGTTTGTGTATTTTATAACTACAGAAGTCAAGTCTGGTCTGGGACTGAAAACAGTCCAAAAGAAAACATTTTAATTGTTTCTTGATTATTATATTCATCTACTAGTACTCTTAGTATTTACCATATGTCCATAATTCCATATCTCATTTGACCTTGTTCATTTGATATTATTAACTCTACCTGATACTACTTCCGTCCCAAATTGATCTACAAATTTGACTTTTTGGGTCAAACACTTTCATTTTATTCACTTAATTAGAATGTCAACTTTTAATTATTCTAATTTGGAGTTTACAACTTTGAAGTGATTTTTATGTAGTTTCTGAATATATAAATTTTAATTATTAAAAATTGAATAAATTATCGATATGGAGCATTAACTTTTATTATTGATTGACAAAAAAATATTTGACTTTGCAAAATAATTTGGGACGGAAAGAGTATTATTTAGATGTTCATTCATGAAGCACAACTTTTAATGAGTAACTTATAGAAGTCAAATATTGTACTCCGTAATTATTAATAACGGATACTTATGACATTGTATAAAAGACATAACTCGGCATTTAGCAGGAACGACGAAAAAAATAGTGTTACGGTCGGAGTAGTTGGCTGGTCTGCAACACTTCTCAGTTTTTGGCTATAAAAACCACTTATTTACCAAACATTATCAATTTTTTACTTTTTTCGGCTTTTGTGTCAAAAGTGTTTTTCCCATTGTTATACACTAAAAGCACTTATTTTACCAAACACTACCAACTTTTACTTTTCAAAATCGCTTTTTTCTCAAACACTATCAACTTTTACAACTAATCACTTTTTCCAAATCACCACAAAAGTGATTTTTTTAAGCAGAGGCTGTTGCAAACACTCCCTTAGCACATTAGAGACCCAAACAAGGAAAAACCAACCTCCCCTGGCATGGTGGGAGTACTTCATACAAGGATTTTCTACTCCGTATTTCAAAATAAAGTTCATTATAATAAATATTTGTTATTCATATTATGTTCCTCTCTTTTGCACAGTTTGTAGTATATTTTGTCATAAATTAAAGACGAGTTTATATATCAAGCATATATTAGTCGTCATCTTCAATCAATTAGCTAAAAAAGTACTCCTTATATACATCCGATTTTGGCTGTAGTAGTGTTTGGTACTCCCTCCGTCCCAAAAAATTGTTCTTAGTTTCCTTTCGGGTCGTCCCAAAAAATTGTTCCACTTTCTCCTTTTGGAAAGTTTTGTGTGGTTCACATTCATTTACCTTTTTCTTACACAACTACAATCATACATTTCCACTTTATTCCCACTTTCTTAAACTCCGATCCAAGTCAATGCGGGAACAATCTTTTGAGACGGAGGGAGTATATAATTGGATTAATAAAACGAATACATGAAAAGCAAGAATAAGAAATGTACGTGAGCAAGAATTTTGTGGTTCGTCTTTTTCGGAAAAAAAATTCTATTTGTACTCAAAATCTGTAGCCATTTAACATATATATCTACGTAATTGTTTCCACACTCGGAGAATTAGGATGTTTTCTTTTGGACTGAAATTTGTTGGTCTGGTCTGGTTTGGTCTGATCTGGTCTGGTCTGGTGTGGTCTGGTCTGGTCTAATCTGGTCTGATCTGGTCTGGTCTGGTCTGGTCTGGTCTGGGACTGAAAACAATCCAAAAGAAAACATATTGTTTGTGTAGGGAGATAATAAGGTATAAATGTATGTGAAGTGTGTACAAATTTTGTCTAACCAGCCATTATTGTTTTTTGAAGAGGAACAAACATTTACTCTGGTGATCTTAAATTAGTGCAGAGTGAACCTGAGCCTGAACCTGTTTTATGCCGGATTGAATTATGTATCTGCCACATTTGTTACCGCTGTTACCAACACTATTCCTGCTATGGTATTTGTCATAGCAATTTGTTTAAGGTACTTTTTTGAAGAATTGTTTAAGAAAAAAAAGTTTGATACTTTAAGTTTGTCATAGCAAAATTGTTTAAACAATTTTGAAGTCATAAAATATTATCCCTACTATCCCTACTACGGAGTATTATGAATTTAATTTTTAAAAAATATTGTTAAATTCTTCTCATTCTAAAATTTCAAAATATGAATTTTTTAAATTTTTTACTAATAAGGATTGAAAAATATTAATGGTCAAACTCATGCGTTGACAAACGTAAAATGTTGACTGTTGCAATTAAAAGGGAACGGAGGAAGTAAGTGATTATAAATTATTGATGTCTAGCTATGAATAGTAAATACACACTAATGAGGATATATTTGTTTCAATGAATGCCAACAAAAAAGGTTGGAAAGGCTGGGGATAAGAAAAAGTGAAGGAAAAGCTAAAGTGGTGGGGTGTATCTTGAGTCTTCTTGGGGCCATGGTCTTTACTTTTTATAAAGGGCCTGTGCTATATCCAACTACTACACATGAAGAAGCAATGCAAAAGTCGCACCTTTCTGTAAAGACGCCTGCATATAGTAAAGAAGACTGGATAAGAGGTTCTGTTCTCATTCTTGGTGCTAACTTGACCTGGTCACTATGGCTCATCATGCAGGTACCTATGTAGTGTGTTCTTTATCACAATCAACCATGCTTGATTATTAAAAAGAAAAACTGTACACCTTTTAATCTTTTATACACATCTCAAAAAGTTCTAGAGCTTTTTGAGATGTGTATAAAAGATTAAAAGATTAAAATGTGACTAAGATCTTAGTCACATTTTTGTAAACACTACAAAAAGTTACGGAATTTGTAAAGATTAATGCTAAAGAGCTTGTGTCAAAGTGTTTTTGGCACATATTTAGTATATCCCTGCCAAATCCTCTATTAATTTTGACGAATCCCTACTAAAAATCTCTGTCAATCTCATGTTTTTTTGTAGTCAAAGTTAGGTTATAGACAAAATATGTGCATTAATAATTCAATTTGGCACACACCGTATTGACAAAAATATATGATTATAGACATTTCTAATAAACTATCACGAACGATTATGCACAAATATCAATTTTTCATGCAATTTCACTTGACATGATTGTAAAGAGTAGCATTCAAACTAATGAAAGTGGCCCGCAAATGGTTATGATTTAAAAGTTCATTTTAAAAAATCAACCTTATTAATTATGGATAATAGTCTGAGATCTTGTATAGTAATTTACTAATTCATATTTTACCGGTATGAAATATACTAAAACACTCTTCAAGATAAGATATTTCGTCTTGATTGTGTCATCACTCATTTGTTTATTTCATTGTTTCGTCATAATCAATATCTTTCATTTTCGTTAGGAGGCCCACATTACACCATGTTTATCAGCCAGCGTGTTTGGCTTTCATACATTATTAAGACTTGAGTTTCCATCTTGTATATATAATGATTTAATATGTTATAACAATTTGGTGTGAGATAAATAATTCAATAAAAATCAATTTCTATACACAGACATCTGTTCATAAACAAAATTTAACCTTTTCAAATTATATAATGATGATACTGATGAAAAAATGTATCAGTGACGGGCAAATTAATTGTCTTTATCCAATCCTTCATATGTGTACTAAAATTGGTAGAAATGACCTTGGCTTTATTTATTTAATCCTTTGGATTGTTCAATATTTCAATATTCAGATAAGTTTCATTTAAAAATTAAACGTTGAAAGTAATTAAACCCTAGGTAGCTCGATCTTTAATTGTTGTTGTTATCTTACGGAGTAAATTATAGGCTCCGCTGATGAAGCAATATCCAGCAAAGCTGCGGCTGGTAACGCTTCAGTGCACCATTTGTTGCTTAATGTCAACACTGTGGGGTGCCTTTGAAGAGAGGGATTTATCATCATGGAAACTAGGCTGGGACATCAATCTTCTCTCTGTCGCATATTGTGTAAGTTAATATGTACGTAGTAACTTTTTACCACAATCTTTTAGTACAAACTAAAACAAAACAAAAAAGAACACATGGTTAATAGAAACTAAAAAGTCGAACATTATGTGACCATCAGCTCAATTGAGTGAGTGGTTTGACTAAATAGCTTGGGGTATTCATAACAAATTAATTCAATGATTTCAATCATGCACAATATTAGTTATTTATCCTAGTGTAAGTGTGGTTCCTATTAATTCGTGTAGTAAAGTGGACTTTTCATGTAGTTTAAGTCTTTAAGATATGTATTGCACTTTCACAAAAAGTACAAGGTTTTTATATTGTAGCCACATGGTATACTTTAAAGTATTCTTTATATATTTTTTGTTTGCTATACTTTTCTCTTTGGGAAGCTTTCCCTCTTGGAAGATTGTATTTGAAAAATATTCGATTACCTTTAACCAGGAAAGCGAATATGAAAAGTAGAAAAATTACTTCTAAAAGTAAAATAGGAGAGAAAGTAAAAAGTGTAATACCCCGGCCCCGTAGGACCCAAGGTAGTTACTCTACACACTTCTGGACCTCTAGTACTCTCCTCACAAACCTACCAGGAGGGTCATCCATCACAAGACTACTCCCGTGTAAGCACGCTTAACTTTGGAATTTTTGGTGATGAACTCCCTTAAAAGGTGATGCATCTTGTTGGTATGAGTAGTCCTATTAATCCGTTAAATTAAATTTCAAGTATTACAAAAAGTATATACTCCCTCCGTCCCGCAATTAACTTCCTGCTTTCCTTTTTGGGCCGTCCTAAAATCATCTTCTCATTTCCCTAAATGGAAGGTTTTCCAAATCAAAACAGTGTCAAACAGTGTTTAAACAGTGTCTAAACAGTGTCTAAACAGTAATGTCAAATTTATTTCCTAAATATGTGTGTAGGTCAAAGTAGGAAGTTAATAGCGGGACGGAGGGAGTACAATGCATTAATGCAATGGAATATGTAACCTCGTAACCATGATTGAATTGGTGCTTATAATTAAGTCCTTATTATTAAAGACGGGGGTTATGATTAATATGTGGGTGGAGGAAATGATGAATGGTATGGATGGGTTGTGCAGGGAATAGTGGTGACTGGGATATCATATTGGCTACAAGCATGGGTTGTGGACAACAAAGGCCCAGTGTTTGCAAGCATGTTCAGTCCATTGGCGCTTATATTGACTGCCTTCTTCTCAACTCTTTTCTTCAAGGAAACCCTTCATTGCGGCGGGTAATTAATTAATCACCTTATATTTATTAATTCATGTATTATAGCAGTATGTTGTATGCTACTATGCTCCCCTATTTATTACAGTTAATAGTATATATAGGAGTATATATTAGATAGATGCATCCATAAGAATCATAGGGGTAAAATAAAACTGCTACCTCTAGCCAATCAAGTCACCCGCATGTTTTCAATTGAATTGAAATTGTTTATTAGCTCTGATTTGATCTGTTTGAGTATAATTGATAGATATTTGGTCTATCTAAATTTTACAATCATCAAAGTCTGGAAAGGGCTGGTCTAATTTGTTTAAGTTTTGTTTGATAAATTCTGATTTGATTGGATCTAGTTTGGGACTGGATCTCGTTCAAGTTAAAATATCTGAAGTGGATTTGTAATTCGATCTTTTTAAGTTCTTACTTATAATGTTTTTAGTCAAACTAGTTTTAGCCCGAGCAAGACCAAACTAGATTAGATTGGTTCAGACATCGATAGTAATTGTAAATTAAAATATGCATAGGACAGATATCTATTAGAGTAGAGAAGGACGGTTAGGATCAGACCTGACTTAAACAAACCAGATCAGACAAAATCAGAACATATTAAACCAGAAAATTACATTCCAGTTAAAAACATCCTTGGTCTGAAATTTTCTTGTCTTGTCTGGTTGGTTTAAATTTAGGTTGATGCAATAAAGGTCTGACATGCATTCTCTAACCATGGTCTGATCAATTTAACTCTTGTATGATTTGATCTACTCCCTCCGTCCCGCTATTAACTTCCTACTTTCCTTTTTGGGCCGTCCCAAAATAATCTTCTCATTTCCCCAAATGGAAAGTTATCCTACATCAAAACAGTGTCAAACAGTGTCAAACAGTGTCTAAACAGTAAAGTCAAATTTAATTCCTAAATATGTGTAGGTTAAAGTAGGAACTTAATAGAGGGATGGAGGGAGTAATTAATATGAGATTAAAGCAAATCGAAGTAAAAAGTTCTCAGTTGATTAAATTACTAAAAAAAGGCAAATACTAGTATGAGTTTTGTTAATAGGACAAAACATTGATCTCTTCCCAAAAAAATCTCAAAGTGCATTATTACATTGATAAAAACGGTCATGGTGTATCAAAAACATTTTGGAGTACTACACTTCAAAGGTTACATTTCAACAATGAATTTATTTTTTGGTCTCTCGCTAAGATTTTTTCATACCAAAATCGATAAGGTTGTGTAGTTCTACATTATTCTTAGTTTGTTCTTAATTTACCAATTCAATATCAACCATATAAACTCATTTTTATTAATAATCGGCTAACAACACCATCTCCTCATGTTTCAATATTAGTGGGATAGAGGTATTAATATGTACTCCATATATCATTTGGATTACATCCCAATTCTGACAATATAAATAGCTCAACTTATGAGACGTTGGATTTTCTCTTTTTTTTTTTTTTATGACATTCCATGATACAGCGTGTTGGGAGCAGTATTGCTGGTGATGGGACTATATGGTTTTTTGTGGGGAAAGAAAAAGGAAACTAAAGATATGGCAGCGAGTGAGCCCATCAAGTCCAATAACCAAACCAAAGATACAAGAGTTGAGCTGGATACAATATCATGCACATCAGCAGAAATTGAGGTCGTCCCAGAAGCCCAAAGAAGATGTTGCATTTGATCCTACAATGCTTTCTTTTTATAGATATGCCTAACTTTTGTAAAATGTAATCCAATGTGAAGGCAGCTTTATATATTAAGATCAAATATTGCAAGTTTTGTAATGCATTGTGATTATTTAAACCTATAAGGATATTGAATACTTTATTGTGAAATGTGTTGATTTATGTGTTTATTCATTATTAATCTTGTACACACTTGTAGATCATGTACTATCACACTTATATACTACGTATTGTGTAGTCCAATTTATGATATTTAAATTGTCATAAATCTAAATGATATGTTGTATGAATATATCACATGATTAAACATACAAATTATTATTATCGTAGTTGTTGTTGTTATACAAGGTTGGTAAATGTTATTTTATTTTAATGAAAGAATAACATAAATATTACTCATATAAGTACTTTTGAAAGACAAAAATATAATTTTTTGTTTTTCCAAAAAGAGAGATTGGCAATTTTAGTCTTGTATCTTTTTACTGATCTCATTATTGGTCATGTAACTTTAGTGACTTTTAATTTTGGTCATTTAACTAATAAATCTTTGCAATTTAAAAACTTTTCCAGCAGAAAGTACAATATACTCTTCGGCCAAAAAATCTGATGCCGGCAATATCTTTTCTGGTATACTATTGCAGGAAAGTTTACTTTTCAGGGAAAAGTCCTCAAATCGCAAATATTAAATAGTTATAAGACCAAATTTGCAAGTGGCTAAAGTTACGGGACTAATAATGAAAACGATCAAAAGTTATGAGATGAAAATTGCAAATTTCCCTTCCAAAAAAATGATGAACCATTTATTTCATAAATTTACGCTTAATCTCATTTTGCCTACTCTAACCAACTGAAATAACGAGTAGTAACAAGTCATAGAGTGGTCGTCCACATTGCCTTCTTCGTCGATCTCCATTAGCTTGTGTTTCGAAGTGGGAAGAACAAAGCCGGAGCAACAGAGTCTCAACAGTTATCCAATTAGATGGTTTGGAATTTGGATCGTTCTGAAAAGGGTTCGATCATAAAAGTCACAGAGCAAGTCGCTCGATCTACAAAACTGTAGCCAGTTCTTCATCACCTCCCCATTAACCAATCTTCTCCCTTCTTTCTGCATCTTTTGCCGATAACAATGTAATTCCTTCGCAAAAGTGATGGTTGTCATGAATGGATTCTTTGACCTCAACCACCATCAATGGCATTTTAATTAAGCTTTTCAACTCAAGAAGATCCAATTGTAGCTTCAAACACATTGGACGATCTAACAAAGTAGGCAATTATGATTTGTTCAATCACTAATCGTTCGTACATATGGATATAATCATTAAAAAATTGAAGCCATGTTTTGTTCTTGTAGCTTCAGTTCATTTTCGTAAATGTTTCCTTGCTTTTCACTGCTTTTCCTTAAATCAACTTGAAAGCATTGTTGGAGGAAAAAAAACCGGCCATCAACGTGACATCACCAACAACAGTGACATCCGTATCTGACATACAAATGTGACAGTGACATCTATTGGTAACATAAATAGATGTCATTATTCCACAAATCCACTATTTTCCCATCATACCCTCAATAATTCTTAAAATAATACACTATTACAACTACTTTTTTTGGATTTATCCTACATTCCACCACATTATTCCACTATTTTCCCATCATACCCTCAATAATTCATATCATCTTTCACTATTCTTAATCTACCTACTTTTGAAATGGGAAGTTTTTAAAGATACGGAGGGAGTATATGACAATGACATCATGATCTTTATTTATATGTAAAATTAGTCACGTTATTGGGAATTGCCTTAGTCATATTTAAAGAAGAAGTGAAGAACCCTTATTTTCATATCATCCTAGCTTTATTTGTTACTCCTTACTTTAAAAAAAATAGGCTTAGTTAATTATTATTATTATTATTATTATTATTATTATTATTATTATTATTATTATTATTATTATTATTATTATTATTATTATTATTATTATTATTATTATTATTATTATTATTATTATTATTATTATTGTTATTATTATTATTATTATTGCAACACAAATGACTTTACGGTCTTCTTCCTTGAGTTGATTTGATGACATATCTTAGAATGTTCAAGACATTCCAATAAGTAGTTTTTAGAGTGTTTGGAAAATGGTATTTCAGTTATAAATGACGGTTTGACCCTTTTAGCGTTTTAATAAGTGAAAACGTTATTTGATAAATAACCGTTCGGCTCTAGGAGAGTTTTTGTTAGCATTTTGGAATATGATGTGCTACTATTTGTTATTGCCAAACAGTTAAGTTACCAAATATCTTCTTGCAACCTGCCAACTTATTTCGATAGTCAAATCCGCTAATTGAATTCGTTATTTTCAACTCGCTAACATAATCCGATAATCGCTAAACGTCAAACATGTCGTTTGTGTAAAATTGCTATATGTTTGTTATTCAAGTATGGCCTGTTGTTCTATTACGAATTTCCAATCTGTATAACCAAAAAAATAGTAATATGTATGGGGAGGGTTAAATAGGTCATCGAACTTACATAAAAAGGTCAAATAAGCCCTTATATAGGAGGCTCTGTCCGGCCGTTGCCATTTGGGGCAGTTCCCGGTAGAATTTTTTGATGAATTGTTTTGAGAATCTTATTCATTAAGTCTAGTTTAGTCATACCAAATTTCAGCTAACAATTCAATCGGGAAGGCATTTAAATGAATTCTTGAAGATAAATGTGCTTTTAACTGCGCAGTTATATTCAAGAATTCATTTTAATGTCTTCCCGATTGAAGTTTTAGTTGAACTTTGGTATGAGTAAACCAGACTTAATGAATAAGATGCTCAAAAAATTTTATCAAAAGATTCCACCGGGAACCGCCCCAAATGGCGACGGCCGGATAGAGCCTCCTATATAAGGGCTTATTTGACCTTTTTATGTAAGTTGGAGGGCCTATCTGAGAGAGGAAATGCGCTGGGGATAAGGAGATACGCATATCCGGCGTAGAGAAAAAAAATTAGGGTAAAAGGGTAATTGAGTCCTATTTAGGGAAGAAAATTAAACATGGTCCTATTTAGAAATTTTAGTAATAATTTAGTGTCATTTAGGGCAATAAGTCTTTCTATATTCATGAGATAAGACTATATATAGTAGCAAAGGAAGGCCAGAATATCATAAAATCACCTAAAATCATGCTTATAGTCTCATGAGATGTCCACTTGAAAATGAACCAAGAACATGGCATCATTGTCAAAGGAGGATAAGTCTCGATCAATATACCCACAAAGATGATGAGATATTTGATTTAACACTACTTAATGAAAAAATGTATGAGTTCAAATAAATTGAGATAACCTATGAATCGTTCTGTTGAAAGCAATGCACGTACGAATGTGTTTGGGAGATCCGTAGGGTAAAATCTTCTCCCCCTTCTTTGTATTCAACCATGTGCCAGTTAATTTATACAAGTGTATGTCTATAACTAAGCCCTTAGCCCAAACTAATATACAAGAGACTAATTACAATTGGGCTAAGCCCGAATATACTAATAATACGCTAATACCCCCCTCAAGTTGGAGCATGAGGTTCAAAACTGCCCAACTTGCCAAGTAAGTAAAGAAACTGACGCTTGCCCAAAGCTTTAGTGAAGATGTCTGCAAGTTGGTCGGTAGTAGAGACATGTCGAGCAATAAGGCAACCGTCTTGAATAGCGTTGCGAACATAATGACAATCAACCTCAATGTGCTTAGTCCGCTTGTGAAAAACGGGGTTATGAGCAATATGGAGCGCTGAGCTGCTGTCACAGTAGAGATCCATAAAGGACAAGTGATCGATGCCAAGACTGTGAAGTAAACCCTTGGCCCATATAAGTTCCGCCGTGGTAGCAGCCATAGATCTATACTCAGCCTCAGTTGAAGAGCGAGAAACAGTGTGTTGTTTCTTGGTCTTCCACGAGACAGGAGAATCACCCAGAAATACTATCCATCCAGTGAGAGAGCGACGAGTAATGGGACAGCTGGCCCAGTCGGAGTCGCACCAGCCAGTGAGAGTGAGATCACACGTAGAGCTAAGAAGAATACCCTGTCCAGGTGTCCCTTTAAGATAGCGGACCACCCGTAGTGCCGCCGTCCAATGATCTTGCCGAGGAGCCTGCATAAACTGAGATAAAATATGAACTGCATAAGCAAGATCAGGACGAGTAAATGAGAGATAAAGAAGACGCCCGACGAGGCGGCGATAAGGTTCTGGATCAGTCAATAAATCACTCTGAGAAATAGCCAAGCTATGATTTTGCTCAATAGGGGAATGAGCAGGTTTGGCCCCAAGAAGACCCGCTTCCGAAATAATATCCAGAGTATACTTGCGCTAACAAAGAAAAAGACCATCAGTGCCACGAGCCACCTCAATCCCAAGAAAATACTTGAGTAGACCAAGATCTTTCATATGGAAGCATTTATGCAAATAAGATTTAAAACGAGAGATAGCACCAACATCATTGCCCGCAATAATTAAATCATCAACATAAATGAGAATGTATAACTGAGAGGATCCCTGGCGCCAAGTAAAGAGAGAATAATCAGAATAGGATTGCTGAAACCCATACTGCTTTAATGAAGCAGTAAGCTTAGCAAACCAGTATCGTGGTGCTTGTCGAAGTCCATACAGCGACTTCTTTAGCCTGCAGAACAACCTAGGCCGAGAAGGAAGAAATCCTGGAGGCGGTTTCATGTAGACCTCCTCGTCCAAGTCCCTGTGAAGAAATGCGTTATGAACGTCCATCTGATGTAGCTCCCAGTTTTTAGCAGCAGCAACAGCTAAAAACAAACGAACAGTAACCATTTTGGCTACAGGAGCAAAAGTCTCAGTATAATCAAAGCCTTCTTGTTGATGATTACCAAACACAACAAGTCGTGCCTTAAACCGTTCAACTGTGCCATCAGAGTGGTATTTAATTTTGTACACCCATTTGCATCCAAGGGCCTTTTTACCATGCGGAAGCGGTTCCATAACCCAAGTGTGATTATCTTCTAAGGCTCGAATTTCATGTTGCATGGCTTCACGCCAACCAGCATGTGTCATAGCTTCCTTAAAGGAGCGAGGTTCATGCCCTGCAAGTATAGCTCCAAGAAACAACCGATAACGAGGAGAATACTTGTCACATTTTAGAAAATTAGCTAGAGGATAGGACGTACCTGAGGAACTGACGGAGGAGGCGCAGGACGGGGATGGGCTCAAATTCTGAACATGATGGGTAACAAAATCCCGAAGCCGAAC